CATGGCCATAGAGGTCTTAGGCTTAGAAGCCTACTTACTACAACTGTTTATTTAAATTTTCATGGTTCCAAGCTGCTTTCTAAATATTTATATTTATGCTGATAGACAAACATTACCCGAATTTTAATATGAGAAGCCTCTTTTTGTAATGAACAGCATTGAATACAAGATGCATGACTGCTCAAGGTGCTGAGAGTAATTGACTGCTGAGTGCTCAGAACTAAACAACACATTTATACCACTCCCTCTAAGGACCAGAGAACATTGCAAAAGTAGGGGTAGAATGAATTTAAGAGCTGAAGATGGGGAAAGGGCTGTGAAATGGTATCTTCTGGACATTGAATCACCAGTGAAGTCATCTTCTGACTTCAGAGGGTCTGTTCTGCTGAGGAACCGCCCTCAGCAGCTTGGGTATTGAAGAGGAGGCATGGAGTCATTGAACTACTGGACAGATGCACAGATACACAAGGGAACTTTATCTGAGGGGCAAAGCTTAATTCTTCATTTTATTTTTCTTTCTGTTGCTAATTCCCACTCTGTTCTTTCTCTGTTTTGTTCTTCTACCCTGTTGTTTTCCTTCTTCTTCCCTGATAATCTCCTTCTCCATCTTTCCTGATGTTTCCTCCTATACCTTTCTTGATGTTTTCCTTTTACATCTTTTCTTCTACTTCTATTCTCTTATTTTTCTCTTATTCTTTTTATACATCCTAAGAAAAAATCTTGTACACAAAAGATTACCTCACAACTACAAGTTACATATTTTCAAAAAAACAATTTAAAGTCTTTATACAGGAAGAAATCATATTATGATCATAAGTTACATGTTTTTCTTAGAAGCCCACAAATAGTTAATATTTTCTTTGTATTAATTTTCCCACCATAATATCTTCACCACAAAGCAATGATTCTTTTATAACTGATTAACCAAGTTTTAAGCGAGCCAAATGTATTTCAGCCAGTTCCCTTTGTACTGACAGGTAGTTGTTTGTGGTTACAAAGAAAGGATTAATCATTTTATTATTTACCTTAAAAAGTAATCTTATAAAAAAATCTTAGAATAATCACAAATCTAAACTTTTATATATATAAAAAAATCAGTCATTTATACTTTAAGTCCTCAGAGTGCATACCCACTCATGAACAAATTTTTATTAAATCTTACCAGGAAACTGAGTACAAAAATTGGTACAAGAAATAAATCATAAACTTTGGTCACCAACCCATCTTTAGCAAGAAAAGCATGTCAGATAGTAATAACCAGGCTACCTTTGTTCTTGTTCCTTGACCCCAATGAGTCCCCGCTCAACTATTAAAAGTTTGCCTTTCTAAACTTTAAATTGTATCCCAAGATTTTCTATACCAAAGCAATTAACAAAAACATCTTAACCTAACTTTACTAACAATATACATCTCTAAATTCTTTCTAAGGGTGGTGGTTGATTCATTAGTCTGTTTCAGCAGCAATGCTTAGAAAAAGCCAACCACTATTATTGTAAGTACCAGTGACAATGCCTACTGAGGGGCTAGAAAGGGGCTTAGAGTTTTCAAACAACTTATGAAAGACATGTGACTTTGAGAGCAATAAGCAGAGCTACAATCAATAACATCATGAGGTCCTCAGGAAATGTATTCCTCCAGTCTCTGCCTCTCCAAGGCTCATCCAATATAATAATGATAACTACTGGGCAAATTTCCATAATTTCTAAAGAAACTTGCTGTTCCTATTCCATGGTCCCCAACACTGTTCAAGATCAGGCCTATCAACAGTCAATCATGAATAGAAGAAGATCATATAGGATTAACTTTTGGCTTCTGATGGATTCTTCAAGAGGGACAGTCATTGTCTGATATTACATATATATTGTATATGCATAGTATACAATGTGTGTGTGTGTGTGTGTGTGTGTGTGTGTGTGTGTGTGACATACCCAATAAGGAGCCAAAGAAGTCCCAGTGGATAGTTCTAAATCCATGGTAACACAGATGAACCCAGTTAAACTCAGTGGGTCTTAAAAAACCAAACCAAAACAATACCATCTAAATCATGAATTTGGGAAGAAGGAATAGAGGTGGTATAGGAAAGCATGAATTGGAAAGACGGTAATAGAAGTGGGATGGAAATTGGGATTGACTGGTAATAATCAGTGCATGTTATAAAGGTGTGAAATTGTCAGAAATAAACTCGAGAAAATGTTTTCAAAAGCATGTATCAAGGAAACACCAAAGATAATTAAAGATATATTACTGTATTGTATTTTTATATGATTTAAAACACATAAAATACTAATTAACATTCACAGTATATAAAGATATAATTTTCAACTAGATAAAGAGCAAGGAATGGGTTATATACAGGCAGAGTTTTAAGCACTATTGAAACCAGCTGGCATTAATTGCAACAATGTTCCTAAGACATTAATTCTAACCTCTAGAGCATTCACTCAGAAAATAATAAACTATACGGGAAGTAGAAGAAAGACTCAAAACACACTACAAAAATAAAAAAGTAAGCAGTAGTGGAGGAATCAGTGGTATACAGAAAATGAATAAAAAAAGTCTCTTACCAGCAACTACTTTTAATATAAAATAATGAACTATTCTAATGAAAAGCAACTATTGACAGGATGAACTTGAAAACTTGCATAATTGTCTGAAATCTAAACAGATTCTTGTTTATAACCAATGCCACAGAAATGTTGAAACTACATTTTTGCAAGAAGACTTCCATTCATATAGTGAACCAAAGAGATCAGAAGTGAGTATAAAGATATCAAACAAAACTTTTTGAAAGAGCAATAAAAATGGTATCAGAGCAAAGAAGGCCATTATGTATTAATTAAAATATCAGACCATCAGGAAAAAGTGTGATATTGTATTATGCTGAAATGAAATGTGATGATGGCCACTGAAGCAGGTGAAGGGAAAGATGATGAATTTAGAAAAGTAAGAAAGAAAAAATCTCTAGACTAAACCAGAGAGGTTTCAGGACCATGGACAGAGACAAGACATTGCACCTGTGTTCAGATCTTCACCATGTCTCTGCTAGGTAGGACGAAGGTCATCAGTGAAAATGAGTACTGAGGCTTGTTTAGGCCGTGAACTCAGCCAACTTGTGAGTTAATAACATTGTAGTAATGATTGGAAGAAAAGTTCCTACATTAACTTTTCAAACTTGGTCTACTGAATGATTTTTTTCAACTACATAGAATGGACATAGAGCACTATTCTTATATAGTATGACCCACAGAAGAAAAGGAGGGAAGAAAGGCTGTGGGATTTCAACAGAGCTGAAAATTAAATGTGACCAATTATAACACTCTGTTTCAGAGAACACAGTTGCTGGGAAGGATGACTGGTAAGAAATGGGAAGCCAGTTAAAACAAGGGTGTGGACAGCTGAGTGATTGTATAGTTAATATTGGTCTAACAGAATTAACTGACTTCTTAACTTTGTCTTGGGAACTGTTTGTTGACATGAGATTCATCTCCATCCCCTTGAGCATATACCTTCACTTAATACAATAAATAGAAAAAATCAAACAATGCTTCCACAGCCCACTCTAAGTAGCTTCCAAGTTAGGAATTTGATTCCCACTAGGAGACATTCCTTGAGGGTTTGAAAGACAAGAGTCATGTAAATCCAAGTTTGTGCCAGCTGTATGTTGCTTTCTAGGAGAAAAGTGTGAAGAATATTCTAGTAGCAGCACTTCATGCCAATGTCCAATCCTTTGTGTGTGTGTGTGTGTGTGTGTGTGTGTGTGTGTGTGTGTGTGTGTGTGTGTGTATGTCCAGGAGTATTTTAATCAGGGTATGGCTACATTTGGTTCTATTTTCCATTCAGCATGGGCATGGGTAGCTGTAGCTAGAGTTTTCCTGCCTGGCCCACAGTCAGGACAAATCTTTGTCACCTGCCAGTCCCATAGCCGCTCAGACCCAACCAAGTAAACACAGAGACTTATATTGCTTACAAACTGTATGGCCATGGCAGGCTTCTTGCTAACTGTTTTTATAGCTTAAATTAATCCATTTCCATAAATCTATACCTTGCCACGTGGCTCATGGCTTACTGGCATTTTCACATGCTGCTTGTCCTGGCGGCGGCTGGCAGTGACTCCTTCTGCCTTCCTGTTCTTTCTTTTTTCCTCTCTGTTAGTCCTGCCTATACTTCCCACCTAGCCACTGGGCAGTCAGTATTTTATTTATTGACCAATCAGAGCAATTTGACATACAGATCATTCCACAGCACAGCCAAGTGCAGACCATCTCAGACACCTGCACTCAGGCTCGTGGTCCTAATCATCCTCTATGCACACCTGCTGGGTAAAGCCACGAGGAACCTGAGAACGGGCTCCCACAAGACATACAGAACATCCCACAGCAGGTAGCTTTCTCACCTCTCTCCATTTTCTGCTCAGACTTTTGTATTCTGTAATGTCTGAGTCCAAACCTTACAATAAAATCATGTATGTTCAATTCCTCTACTAAATCTCTTTCTACATACTGACTAATATAGAGTTTCTATCTTTTTTATTATATTTTTAAAAATTTTATAATTTAATTTAATTTTGCATAGCAGCCATGGATTCCCCTGTCCTCCCTCCTCCTGCCCCCCTCGCCCTTCCCCCAATCCGCCCCCATTCCCATCTCCTCCAGGGGAAGGACTCCTCTGGGGACTCAGTTCAGCCTGGTAGATTCAATTGAGGCAGGTCCAGTCCCCTCCTCTCTTCACCCAGGCTGAGCAAAGTGTTGCAGCATAGGCCCCAGGCTCCAAAAAGCCAGCTCATGCACTAAAGACAGGTCCCAGTCCTATTGCCTGGTGGCCTCCCAAACAGTTCAAGCTAATCAACTGTCTCACTTATCCAGAGGGCCTGATCCAATTGGGGGCTCCTCAGCTATTGGTTCATAGTTCATGTGTTTCCACTAGTTTGGCTATTTGTCCCTGTGCTTTTTCCAGTCATGATCTCAACATCTCTCGCTCATATAATCCCTCCTCTTTCTCACCGATTGGACTCCCGGAGCTCCACCTGGGGCCTGGCTATGGATCTCAGCTTCCGCTTCCATCAGTCATTGGATGAGAATTCTATCATGACAGTTAGGGTGTTTGGCCATCTGATCACCAGAATAGGTCAGTTCAGGCTTTCTCTCTACCATTGCCAGTAGTCTATTGTGGAGGTATCTTTGTGGATTTCTGGGGACCTCTCTAGCACTCTACTTCTTCCTATTCCCATGGGGTCTTCATTTATCATGGTGTCTCTTTCCTTGTTCTCCCTCTCTGTTCTTGATCCAACTGGGATCTCCCGCTCCCCTAAGCTCTCTTTCCCAGGACCCTTGTCCTTCATTACGCCACCCCCCCTCATGTCCAGTTTGGTCAAGTAGATCTCATCCATTTCTCTGTCGTTGGGCGATCCCTGTTTCTTTCTTAGGGTCCTCTTTACTAGGTAGCCTCCTTGGAGTTATGAGTAGCAGTCTAGTCATTCTTTGTTTTACATCTAGTATAACACCAGTAGCACAGACACTGAGAGAAACAATTAATCAATGGGACCTCTTGAAACTGAGTTTCTATCTTAATGTCACATATATGTTGTCTCTGTTTCAGCTATATACCAAATAAATCATGCCTGCCATAAGCAAATGTTTATTTTTAATTTCATAGACTTTTAATGCTAATGTTATGATAGTAAAAAACAGCTGTTTTCTAGTTTGGTTCTTAGTACATTGTTTTTAGAGATTATAAATGGGAATTTTTTATTATTATTAATAAGAATTAATCATATTAATTTCTTTTTTTTTTGTGGTTTTTCGAGACAGGGTTTCTCTTGTGTAGCTTTGTGCCTTTCCTGGAACTCACTTGGTAGCCCAGGCTGGCCTCGAACTCACAGAGATCCACCTGGCTCTGCCTCCCGAGTGCTGGGATTAAAGGCGTGCGCCACCACCGCCCGGCCTCATATTAATTTCTTAAAGGAGTTTGATCGTTCTTTTGGAACTGGGATGTCAGGAGAACCCTTTGAAAAGAGATGCTTCTACCAAGTCTTTTGAGAAGTCATGCCATATGAAGCTTGTATGGAGTGAATGATATACGTGTTCTAAAGAAATGAAACCTAAACATAGTGGTTTATAATTTCCTGCAGTCTTTATTGAATCCATATCATATCCTCTGTCATTTCTACTGAATCCTTTTATTATAGTTGTTTAGATGCATTTGATTTTTCATAACTGCCTAGAGTAGCAGCTGTCACTCAACAGACATAATTTGTGAGTCTACGAAGTAAGAGCCAGGAAGCTTGGATTCCTGAGGACTAGAGGTGTTGCCTTTTGTTTTTGCTGTTATAGAAGAAGCAACATCTTTGCAAAGCTTTCATCTGCCTGCAGTCTATGATTAGGGCCACGTTAAACATGGCTATTACAAAGGCTGCGTGTTTCCTCAACATAGCAATTTTTGGCAGCCTTTTGAAGTAAATGATATTCCTCTCTTTGATTACTTCACAGCATTGTCCCTTCCCCTTTCAAATTAAGTATCACAATGGTAAAAAGCAAAACAGATTAAGTGTCTTTCAGATTAGCTGCTCTCTGTGAGGCATGATTGACATTTAAGGGAGTTTTGAACCAAATTCAATTTGAAAATCAGATATGGAAATTCATTACACAGAAGACAGGTAGATGATGATATAGAGGATTAAAAAGAAATCTCAAACCAACTCACTTCATGGCAGTTCTGAAAATAGACTGATTTGTTTTAATATTGTTATTACGTATTTACATGAGTGCCTCTGTGTGTGCAAGCGTCTGTGTGCATGTTAGTACCATGGCATGTAAATGAGAAGCAGAGCACAGCTTTCTGAAACTGCTTCTCTCCTTCCATTATGGAGGTCCTTGGAATTCAACTCCAGTTTGGAAGCAGACACCTTAATCTGCAGAGGTATCACACCACTCCCTGACTGACATGTTTTAACAACTGGCTTTACCCCTTCTTATCTAGGTAACTCTGGTTAACTGGCCTGGAATGGCTTTTATTTTTAAGATAGAGTTAATACTAGCATTTGCCTATTAAAATTGCTTAGGGGGATTAGACTGAATAATACATGGGAGGTCTTTACAAAATGTGGCATGTGGAACTCGCTTTTGTTCTTGCTAGTGTTATTATTTTTCACTGTCTTACAAATGTGTCTTTGTTGATTTAATGTTTATTTGTTGTGTGAGAGATTTTTTCCTAGGAAGATGCAGTACACACACACACACACACACACACACACACACACACACACATCACACCCTCACATGCTACCCATAACAGACAAAAGTAACAATTACACCAAAGTCCAACTTGGTGAACTAGTGAGTCTTCATAGGGGTGAGTACCAGAAGTGAGAGGTTACTTACAGATAGTACTCAGAAAAAGCAGCCCTATCACCAGAAGGTGTCAGCACCTGACATGGTGATAACTCAGGGCAGGGCAACCCTGGAGCTCTTTGCACAATTTGCCGGCAGCTCAGTGGTTGGACAAGCTCTGTCTTCTCTTCAGTATGGCTGCTCAGTCTTTCCTCCCCGCTGCCGCTTCTGTTTTAGCTAGGGAGAGAACTTAGAGAACCTTGGAAGTTTCAATTTTTCTAGAGGATTGACGTTTTTGTTTATCTCTGGGGTTTCATGAGCCTCACTCTTCCTCCTGGAGAGGAAGTTTTAATAAGGAGGAAGGTGCCATTCACCAAGATTGAGGAAAACTAAATCTCAACAAATTGTCAGGACATTTAGGGACTGCCCTCCTCGGCACGTCTGTCTTTTTCTGGCACACTCCTTACAGTTTAGCTAATGAAGCACCTCTAGCTATCATCCCTGAACTTTGAAGTCTTGGTAAGGGATCCCTTCTTAGAATATGCTTCCAGAAGTTCTCAGTGTGTTGTTACATCACACCATGTTTAAATTTGACATTGGGCATGCTACTTAAACTATCTAGAAAATGAAAATAATATATTAGTGCCTATCAATTGGATAACATAAAATTTAAAAAAATTATGAGCATACATACACTTTTGTATAACATTTAAATATTAATAATGGCCAGAACTGCTTTCCACAGTGTTTGTCAGCTATACCTCCCTATGAAAACCACTTGAAACAAGTTATTTAAAAGGGTGAATTTGCATCCTGGCTTCAGGGGTTTCACTCCATGCACATTCACTCCTGCAAGGTTGGGCTGATGGTAACACAATCAGTATGATGCAAGCAGGTGGCAGAGGGGCCTGTCCCCTTCATAGCAACCCAGAAGTGAAGAGCATGAGAATTCACTTCAGTGCAGTGGTTCTCAATCTGTGGGTAGTGACCCCTCTGGGGGCCGAACGGCCCTATCCAGTAGGTTGCATATCAGATATTTACATTATGATTCATAACAGTAGCAAAATTGCAGTTATGAAGTAGCAACAAAGACAGTTTTATGTTTGGGGTCACTGCAGCATGAGGAACTGTGTTAGAGGATCACAGCACTAGGAAGGTTGAGAACCACGGCTTGAATTATGAAAATGTCTTCAAATTAGATGTTAGTGATTGGCTAGAACCCCAAATATGCTGATGGGCATCAAGCTATAAGCTAAAAGTAGGTGAACCTACGTATATACTGTGTATATATAAACATTGGTATGAAATTCTAAAAAAATATTAAAAATAAAAATAGTTGAATTTTATGTTATCTAAACTATGCTCCCATCAAGATGTCTTCAAATGAATTCATATCTCCTGTTTCTGTATATTTCAAACTGAAGTACTGTGAGTCCAGAATAGCTGGACAAAATCCAATTTACAAACATCTTTTAGACTGTTTTGCAAACCTACCCACTTCCAGACACAAACCATGCATTATGTTATAAGTTATAATCTTGGAGCTCAAATGCTCTGTGATTTAGAAAGAATTGAATACAGAAATCACTTCGACAAAACCAGAAGTGTCACATAGCATCGCCACCTGCTAGAACATTTCATTTACAGCTTCTGAAAGATTCTAAATACATTAAAACATAGCCATCGCCATTACTGGCTGACACTTTGATTTCAAAGGAACTGTCTAATGTGTACTTGAGATCTCCCTATGTTACTTCTTTGTATGGCTACTTGTTGAAAGAATAAATTGCTCACCCTTTTCAGTTTCATTCAAAGGAACAGCAGCACTATAATCACATTTTAAAATCATATTGTTGAAGAACATTTATTTTCTGTATTAAATATTTTAAAAGTTGCCTTTAATGTATTAACATGCAAAAATTGGACTTTTGGAATGTAAATTCCTGGTCTTCCAGAATTTATTTGGTAATATTAAGTTACTTTTCCACATTCCAAGTCTCAGATTTGGCAACAAAAGAATTCACAGAAATTATATAGTACAATTCTCTGATCTAGTTGGTGAGAAAACAATGCCCTAAAAACTATTATCAATATTTTTACCAATGTAGAAATTATGCTTCTACTTTGGAACTAGCTGTTAGTCACACATTAGTGTGTTAGAGAAAGATAGATGAAGTTATAAAATCCCAGCTGTAGTAACGACTGTGCCCCCCCCCCATATGTCAGGATCCTAATCCACAATTTGTGTGTTATTTCACATGAACGTTATTTGACATGGTAAAGGGACTTTGTGGAAGACTATCCTGGCTGACTCCCATTACTTCTTTGTAATCCCAACTCTTCTTTAAAAAGCAGGGTTGGGGATTTAGCTCAGTGGTAGAGCACTTGCCTAGCAAGTGCAAGGCCCTGGGTTCGGTCCTCAGCTCCGAAAAAAAAATACATAAAAAGGAGTTGGATAAACAGAGATTAAAGGAGTAAAACAGAGGTGAGATGGATAAGAAGCTGCTGCCCTTTTGGCTCTCAGGGTGACTATAGGGCATGGAAGTCAAGGATGTAGGAGGCCTCTTCAAGCTGGAAAAGGCCCACAAAACAGCCCTCCCCCTGCCCCACTTGAGTCTCCAGAAGGAATTTAAAAACAAGTTGATTTTAAAATGAATTTTCTCTTTTCTGTTCCCCCTTTTCTCATTTGCTTTCCTAGTAACAGGATTTCACTCCATAGCCTAGTCTGG